CTGAGTGACAAAGCGAAACCCTATTTCAAAAAAAAAGTTTAAAAAGTTTTAAATGTATGCTTCATTTTCTTTTCTTTTTAAAATTTAGGTTTGCTTATATAGCCAATTGCTGTAAGTCTGTAATTAAAACCAAGAGTATAGTAGCTCAATGCATAGAAGTTGAAGATAGATAAGCCAATTTTGTAATCTTGCCTTTTACTTTTTGTTTGTTGGCTTTTACATTACTTAAAAATTGTTAAGGAGTAATAAATGCCTGTCCACGTCCATTCCTGTCTGGTCTAGAAAATTTAAATTGTCTATAAGTCTTTTGGCTGTAAGTCTCTTGGCCACAGTGGTCCTACCAAGGAACAGGATGGACCTGGGGCAGGCAGCCAAACCATCTCCACAATGCTATGGGACAAAATAAAAGTTTGGCCATTGATGTTGCCTCTGACAAATCCTGGCCAGAAGGAAAGAATGTAAACCAAAAATAAAATTCTAAGCTCCCCAACCATCTGAATGGACCCCTCCTCTTGGCCAAGGGCATTCCAAAGTTAACCTGAAAAACTAGTTCAGGACATGATGGGGAAGGGGGAGTCGGACATGCCTCATTACCATTAACATGAACACAGACCTTAAGACTGATAGAATAGACTCTTTAAGTCTACTAAGAAACATTTACATTCTCTCTGAAGCCTGCTACCTGTAGGTTTCAACTGCATGATAAAACTGTGGTCTCCACAACTCCTTATCATAAACCAGACATTCCCTTCTAATGATTCCAGGTCTTTAGATAAGAACTCAACCAATTATTAATGCCAGTCAGAAAATTTCTGAACCTGCCTATGACCCGGAAGTCCTCCAACTTCCATTTGTCCTGCCTTTTCCAGACCAAACCAATGTACATCTCAACACGTATCAATTGATGTCTTATATCTCCCTAAAAACCAACCTGTGGCCTGACCGCCTTGGGCATGTCACCAGGACCCCCTTAGACAGTGTCACAGGCATGTCCTTAGCCTTGGCAAAATAAACTTCTAAATTGATTGAAAAAAAATTTTAGGTTTTCTGATAAGATCGATTCCAAGTGAGAGGAGTGAGAATTATACATGAAAGCTTTTGTTCCCAATTGGACAGAAGGATGCAAGCAACTTTTGATCACCTGCTCTACCATGAACAGTGCTAGGAGCTTCATAATAACTACGAGAAGTATGTATTTTATTTCCATTTTAGAGATGAAGAAGACTCAAGAACAAGAAGAACGTTACTAGTTTAAATTACAATTATATGATTCCAGCATTTCTAGAATGAAAAACTCAGGGAATATCTGAGAGAGAAAGGTCTGTAAAGAGCATTTAATCCAGCCCCTTTATTTAACAAACTGGGAAAATCTGTCCCAGGAGGGAAAGGGACTAGTTCAAGATTAGCCATCTACTCAAAGAGAAGGAACTCGAATTTCAGTCTCTTGAGTGCCACCCAGTGGACAATGTACCATGACCGATATTTACAGACAAGTTATCAAAAAACTTTTACAGAATAGTGGGAAAGAGCATTCATTAAATTGAGAATTGGAAGAACTGGATCCTGTCCCGGTTTTGCCAAGTAAGGTTAGCTTCCCCTCTCTTGGTTTTAATTTCCCCACCTGTGTAATATGAAGTGACAATAGGAAAATCGACATGAGGCAGCAAGTCTTGGATCCAAGACAGACACAGATCCAGGTTTTGTGGGGCTTGAAGCTTGTAACATTTGGGGCCGCCTTTAAGTATAAGAATGCAAAATTACCAATATAAAATTGGGAACAAAAGCCAATATTTAAAATGAGAAAAAAAAAGAACACACACATTTGAAAAAGTTGACAAATGCTAGAAACATCTGAAAATTTAGAAAAAAATACATAAATAGCTACTTATCTTTAGTACTTAATTGCCTCATGCACTTCTGTAGTATGTTATTCCTGCTTTTCTTGTTTGTTATAGTTGGAAACACGGGATTCAGCATATAGTTATAATCACAACTAAGATTTATTACAGCAATGTACTTAGGGCACACAGCCAGATCACAAGCAGAAAAGACACAGGCAAAGTTTGGAGGAGCCCATGAACAGACTTCCTTATGCTTTCTCCCTCCCATGAGGGGCCACACAGAGCACATGCTTTTCTCGGCAACAAATATGCAGTGGCACGCGTGATGTTTCTGGCCAGAGAAGCCCAGACGCATTGCCCACAGTTTACACTGGGGTTTGGTAACAGAGACATCCTCTGCCTAGCATGCACCAAAATTCCAGACTCCCAGAAAGAAAGCAGGTGTTCAGCATAAACTACATTGTTTGTATTAACAGTCAAGGCACAGTGAGCCACCTTATCAGTTAAGTGTTGACTAGGGAAATTCTGAGAGTCAAGTTTCCAGATGCCAGCAGGGAGCGTAACTTCCAAGCAGGTCTTTCTAAGGGTAGCAGTCACAGGAACTGTGACTGTGCCCTTTCTAGCTCAGGACACATTTGATGTTGTCACTGTTTGGGAATTCAGTCCTGACCAATTTAAGAGGTTGTGTTTCTTAGCTGTCTCTGGCCCCTGGTTTGCCCAGTTTAATTCTGTGCCTGTCCAGCAAAACTCTTCTGCATACTATTCAATGTTTCTAGTCCTCCTACAGGTCCGTGTCCTACAATCACAGGAATTCTGAAAAATGCCATTTTACAAAACCCCCTTCCAAATGTGCAAATAAACGTATCTTGTATTTACAGTTGCGTACACTGTACACTGGGTATATTCCTGACAAGAGGGCACTTTTGCTTTTCAATGAAAATGGAATCCTTCACTTACAATTTTACACACCTGATTGATGACTGGAAGATTTTTCCACAGACTAGCTTCTGATGCTGTACACTGTGAATCTTGGTTCTCCTCCACTGCCAACATACCCCTGATGTCAAGTGCTGCAAGTCACAGTGACATTGCAATGTACCCTCCAGCCTCACCCCTCTTGTCCTAACACCGGATGCATTAGCATAGTAAGCAGAAGTATTCCTGCAAGCTATTTCAATAATAAAGGGCAGCTGGCAATAACTGGGAAATACATGAAATTACTTGTGGACCCCTATATCCTAAACTAAATGAATCCCAACTTAATGTCCCCTTAGTTGAATTCCCAACATGACCATGGTTATTGCATTGCTACCCAACACACAGGCAAGAGGGATAGAGACAGCATAGTGGAAAGAAAGATTCCCCGAACCAACTGTGGTTAAAGTATCTTTTGTAGATTTTCCAAACCATACAACTGTAGGACCATGACGCTAGGGGCTGTGTAAGCAAGAGACACTGAAGGTTTATCTTAAACTTCACTCACTTCACTGTGTACTTGCATGGGGTCTAGAGACTTACAGAAGAGAAACCATGAGAAAAGACGTAGGGCCCAGATAATGAGACAGAACGGAAGAAAGTACACAATCAGAAACAAGGACAAGGAAATTAAGACAAATTCCAGATAAACAAAGCGCAAAATTTACCTGGGAATGTGTGACCTGCATGTGACCTAGCATGGGAGAGGCAGCCTGAAGAGTTATTCTTCCTAAGCTGGGGCACAACACAAGGATCAAAACAACAGAGCTGGCTTTATTCCATGGCTGAGCCAGGAGGATGTATCATGAGATTCTGTCGATATTGAGTGGATAGGACGAGGACTAGTTCAGAGATGTCAGGATTCTTGGACCACAAACAGAGAGAAGTTTTGCTGAGCAGGCCAGAATTAAACTGGGCAAACCAGGAGCCAGAGACAGCTAAGAATCACAACCTCTTAAACTGGTCAGGACTGAATTCCTAAACAGTCACACCATCAAATGTGTCCTGAGCTAGAAAGGGCCTTCTAGGTACCATACTCCACCATTCCACCACTATCTTGTGGGTACAGAGATCACATCACCATAGTCAGGGTCAAAAAGACTGGTTGAGTCCTGCCTTGATCACTTACAGCACAAGCTGAGGCAAATCACTTCCCCTCTCTGAATTTCAGCATCCTCATCTCTTGAGTGAAGAGAATGATAATGTGGTCCCAGGAGCCTGTGAAGAATTGTCACATTAGGATGAGAAAAAGCACCTGGAGAGGCATTCCTGCTGACCCAGAACACAACACAAGAACCTAAAGGCAAGTACGTTATAAGCTTCAAAGCCTTGCAGGAATGTTACCTTTGCTTTACTACAGAGGAGGCACCAGCAGGAGAACTCTCTCTCAGAAGACAGATGGAGTCCTCAGAAAATGCTGATTCTCATGAACTCTTCTCTGTCCCTAATGTACAAGTAGTTTCAAGCAGGGGTCTTGTTGGTATTTTAGGGGGAAATTGATGGTACTACTTTAGGATTAATTTGATAAGACTAACGGTCATTTTATAAAGAGAAAGTCTCCCCATAAGTAGTATGGCTGGGAAGGGAGAATGAAGGAGGGTACAGGAAACCTGAGCAAGTATTGAAATATCTAAATGAGAGATAAGAAAGCAAGGGCAATTATGCTGTGATTGAAGGTGACACTTGCACCCCGATCATCTCCCCACCCACCTCTGGCCCAGATGACTTACTGGCCACATGAGTGAATCAATGAATTCTTCTCAGGAAGAGAACCAGTTTGCCTTTTAAAAATGCTGACAGTGAAACCCAAGTGAGGACACTCACCTGCTGCACCCAGCGTGCAACCCATACTCCTTCAGTGGGCCTTTAGGAGTTGGACCCAATCTAGTTTCCCAGCCTCTTCTCCCATGACTTCACTCTACGAATGGGTCTGCTCCAGCCACCAACCTTCTCTGGGCTCCTTGAAGGTACCTAACCCCTTCAGGCTGTCCTTCCCCCATTTCCCACCTAACAAAACCCTTTCGACCTTCAAGGCCCAGCTCAAACACCCACACCTCTACGAAGCCTCCCCCAGCCCCTTGCCCAGAGTGAGCAGTTCCTTCCTCTTCACATTCACCTAACTCCTCTTGCCTGTAAGATGCCCCCTTACAAGTAACAAAGACATGAGTGTGCACCTACCTTCAAGGAGCCTCTTCCAGGAGGGGGCCTGGCTTCGATCTGCTTTTTGACATGATACTTTGCACTGAGATCTGCCCTCTCCTGCCAGGCTGTGCTCACACCAATACCAAGAGATCACGAGACACCCTGCCAGCAAATGCCCTGGAAGCACATCCCCTTCATGCCCCTGACAGTTGTCTAATGCACACACAAGATGACAGCAGCTCTCAGGTGGCCTGTTGCAGGGCACAGCACAGTTCTGCCTATGCCAAGGCAGATGCTGGGCCCTTCCCTATTGTGCTCAGCACAGACCCGTTCTCCAGGGCACCTTTCCTGGGCATTAATTCATCCAGGCAGTTAATATGGATTGCACAGCCTGCTGTGTGCCAGGTACCATGTGGACCCCACCACCCATGCCCAATGCAGGCCCCTCTAGTGGGCAACCCTTGCTCCACACCTCCCTGCTGGGCTGCTCAAGACTGTCAGGTCGGGCTCAACCTGCTCTCCAGCCCTGCTTCCTTCCTGTCCCTTTCCTGAGGGTTAGTTAGCCCCAGTAAACCTTTGGTCCTGCCAACTCCCTCTCACAGTCTGCTTCCTGGAGGACCCAATCTGAGACAGTGGGTTCCAGAGTGGTCCGAGAAAACAGGTGGTAAGATGGGGTCTTGGTACAGGATTGCCCTGCATCTCCCCAACTGGCAACGAGGTTCCCATCTTCGGGGGTAGGTGGCACGCAGGTGGCTCTAGGCACAAGATGGCAGGCTAGTTGCTAGACCTTCGATGTTAGAACTTTTGCTGGGATGGCCGGCTTGTGAAGAGGAAGCTCCTGGAAGGCGAGGAGATCCAGGCAGGGCAGATGCCTGGAAATGAAAACTCAGGGAACGGTATGTTTCCTGAAGGACCCACCGGGATTAATGAGAGGCCAAGGGCAATTAACAAACATCTAAAAATTAAGCAGAAACACTGGAGTCTTCCTGGTGGTTTACAAAGTAGCCCCCGATCCAAGCAATGGGCAAGCAGCAAAGTCTGAAGAACAAACCCAGGACTTGCTAAGGTGGCTGAACTCCAAAGACAGCTGAACGCTCAGCCAAGGCAGGTCTGTCATGCCAATGACACAAGTCCTGCTGGGAAAACCTGCATCCCTGATACATGGAACACGCACATCTAGGAGGAGGTCTCTGAATATCTGGTCTCCCTAGATGCCCTTGAAACTTCTGAGCTTGCAGCATCAGCCCACCCCCTCCCATGAAGCACTGCAGGCACCCTATCCCGAAGGAGAAATAAGTAACACAAGAATTTTCCCCACAGGTGTCCTCCCTCCCAGGAGTGGCCCTCACCTTATCACTGGCTGCCGGGTAGGGTGATCAACAGTCCCAGTTTGCTGAGGGACTTGCGGTGCTAAAAGCCAGCGAGTCCCAGGGAAGCAGGAGGAATTGGTGAGCTGACTGCCACACCCGTGACTAGAGTGAAGGTGCAGCACAGAGCTGCGCAGGCAGGGTGTGCTGGGTCTGGGAAGGGGGAAAGCGATGACACCCCTGAGGAGCTGCAGGATCAGCATGCACCTGCAGCGGCCAGGGGGGTCCCTGTGGGATGGGACCCGGATGCAGCTCAACCAGTGGGGGCCGGAAACGAAAACTACACAAGGGACTTGGAGACACTCTGCTGCTCAACACAACTGAATGCCCTGGTAGGGAGCCGAAGGGATGGGGCAACCCTGTGGATGGCATGGGATGGGCATCAGTGATGGTCCAGGCCTGAGTGACGGTGAAAGGCCCGAATTGTCATGGCAGATGGTGAAGGAAGGGATTCAAAGGCTAAGCAAAGTGAGTTTGCTGGAACTGGACAGAAGACGTGAGGCCAGAAGACACCCTGGAGGATCATGTTTCAGGAGAGGGCGCAGAGGACACATGCGTCAGCAAAGGCATCAGGAATGTGCTGGAGAGAGGGCGCCAGCATCCCTCAGAGATCCAGCGCGGGAATCCTCTGCAGGCCAGGGTTGACCACAGCGGAGTGTCTTACAGAA